CCTTGAAATTGTTCTCTCTAAAGGTCCAGTAAGTTTTTACTAATGCAACCAATGGTATCTTACTTGAAGTAGCCAAGTGCAAGACAGTGAGCTACCAAAACAGCTTCTACGTCAGAGTTGCCAACGTGTGGAATACACTCCCCTGTTTGATCAGAGAAACCAACAAAACCTTGGTCTCTTTCAAATTTTGTTTAATGCAACATTATAAGTATCTCACCAAGGAAATTTATAAACCCGAGGATCCGAGAACATTTAAGTCTGTTTGTGTGAAGTGTCATTCAACTCGCCCATTGCTAACTTGTCGAATCGAGCATGTTGTTAAATTTATTGTCACATAAATTGTAAGTCGTTGATTGTAATTCGTTGTGCTTGTTTGTTGATCTTCACGTCTGTCTGTCTGTCTGTCTGTCTGTCTGTCTGTCTGTCTGTCTGTCTGTCTGTCTGTCTGTCTGTCTGTCTGCAAAAGATAATGTAGGGAATTACAGACCAATTTCAGTTTTAAGTGCAATTTCTAAGGTTTTCGAGCGTATTGTTTTTGATCAGCTTTACACCTATTTCAATGAAAACAATCTGTTACACAAGAATCAATCAGGCTTTAGGAAGTGCCACTCTACTATGACTGCTCTAATAGATGCCACTATTGAATGGCTTACAAACATGGACCAGGGAAAACTTAATGCGGTTGTTTATATTGATCTAGCGAAGGCATTTGATACAATAAGTCACGAGATATTACTTGAGAAACTCCACATTTACGGGGTTGATGCAAATAGTTTATCCTGGTTTCAATCCTATTTACAAGATCGCAAACAAAAATGTTATGTGAATGACGTTCTATCTGGCAAACGTACCATTAATTGTGGTGTGCCTCAGGGGTCAATTCTTGGACCGTTATTGTTTCTCATATATATAAACGATCTTCCTCAGTGTTTAAAACATCCTACAACTCGAATGTACGCTGACGATACAAACATAACAACGACAGGAACATCTATTCGAGAAATAGTAACACATGCTAATGATGACTTAAATAATATAAGTGACTGGCTAAAAGCAAACAAACTCAGCCTTAACGTGACTAAAACTGAGTATATGTTCATTGGATCAGATCAAAATCTTGACAAGTTAAGAGATGTACCACTACTATTTCTTGAAAACAAAGCGATAAAAAGGGTCAAAGCAACCAAGTCATTAGGGGTACATATTGATGAAAGACTAACATGGCATGAACATATTCAAAATATTTAAAAAAAAGTAGGTGCTGGAATTTCAGGTTTACGGCGGGTAAGGGAGTTTGTCCCATTATCGACATTGGTAACAATTTATAACTCATTAATACAACCATTATTTGATTACTGCGATGTTGTTTGGGACAGCCTTCCTGCTGCTCGTGCCAGCATTCTACAAAAGTTGCAAAATCGTGCCGCTAGAGTTATTACTCATCAAGGTTATGATGTCAGATCCAATGAAATAAGGAAAACACTAAACTGGGAAACTCTTGCAGAAATGCGAGACACACACAAATTAACTATGATGTATAAGATAGTAAACAATTTGGCACCAAAGTATTTAAGAGACCATTTTGAAATGTCTGCCATAGATAATTTTTATACATTAAGAAATAGAAAATTATGCCTTGTACTACCAAAGCCTCAAACTGAATATTTAAAAAAGAGCTTTGCATTTTCAGGGGTAAAATTGTGGAATACTTTACCAGAAGATGTAAAATGCAGCAACAGTTTGAGTCAGTTTAAAAAAGGAGCAATAATCACATCATCAGCTTCTAGCTAAATATTGTATATGTATTCGGCTTTCTTGTAAAGCAGTGCTATGCACTGAAGAATTTCCGAATTTAAATAAATCTGTCTGTCTGTCTGTCTGTCTGTCTGTCTGTCTGTCTGTCTGTCTGTCTGTCTGTCTGTCTGTCTGTCTGTCTGTCTGTCTGTCTGTCTGTCTGTCTGTCTGTCTGTCTGTCTGTCTGTCTGTTTGTTTGTTTGTCGGTCTGCAAGCCTGTTATTGTTCATACTGTGTATTTCGAATGTCTTGGAACCCCGTTATTGGAGAACTAATCTCTGTGTGGTAATTCCAGCCATGTAATCTATTGTGTGTAATAGTTTGTGTTAACTAATTTTGTGTAATAGTTTGTGTTAAATGGCAAAATCTGTAAAATAAAATAAAATAAGTAGTTTCATTAGAATCATTGTTGCCACTGGAGCTAAGCTACATATGCTCGTAAAACCGCACAAATTGTTACAGATCTGCAAACAAGTTGTAACAAAGTTGTTGTCAAGCCAAAATCAGGATGTGTTCGCAGTTGTTGTGACCAGTCTGGAACAAGTTATTATCATCTTGTTACAAGGTTGTTCCAACAATATTAACACGAACTGTTCGTAACAAGTTTCTACGAGCTTGTTGTCACCAACTTGTTAACAACTTGTTACGTGCAAACGATATCAGACTTGTTGGAACAACTTGCTGCGAGTTTGTTAGCCTCATGAACCTTGTTACAACCTTGTGATCTCGTGTTCGTATTTTAGCCAATCAGCGCTCAGAAAGGGTTGTCCGAATAGAAATCCATTTTGATGTATTCAGTCAATTATATCTTTCGTTATTCTTTATGAAACTAGTTGAAATTTTGTAATTATGTTTGGTTATGAGAACTATAGCTCTGACAAAAATATGGAATCGAAATAAAGTATATCACAGGAGATATGCAGTTGTTTTAATCATAAAATGGATTTCTATTTGACAAGTAGTGCCAGTACTTTTCCGCGTATCAAGATCACCTGGAAGATGATAACAACTTGTTCCAGACTTGTCAACAACTGGGAACAAGCAGTGCGAACCCATCTAGTTGACAAGCTGTGAGATGTTTGCGCGTTTTCACGTAAAACACACAAGTTGTAACAAACCTGCAGCAGACTTGTAGCAATTCTGTTTCAACAGCTTCTCAACAGGATGTATTCGCACTTCTTGTTCCCAGCTTGTCGACAACTTTCTACATGATTATTGAGCTCAACAGACTGTTACAAGTTGTTCCAATGTTTCGTCCTGCAATTCAACAATTTGTCGACAAGTTGTGAGCGACAACCTTGCAGCAACTTGATAAAATAGCAACATTGTTACAACTTGTTGACAAGCTTGCTACAAGCCTGTTGCGAACACATCTTGTTGACACGTTGTGAAATTTGTACCTGTGTAGCTTTAGACACTAACACCCAATGTGCCATTGGCATTGAAACCAACTATACTTTTATATGACTGATGTTTTTTTAATCTATACAGATTAATGGTTTAAACTACATGGATCCTTCACGGTTGGTTTCTGGCAGTCAAGACGGAAATGAAAGCCAGGCTCAATCAGGCCAACCTACTGAATACGCAGAAGTTGTGGGAGTCATTAAGCCAGCGCCGAAAAAAACCAAAAAGAAAAAATGAACGCAAGTATTACATGAATGAATCAGAAAGGAATAATTGTATGCATACGTTTTATGTTTGTTTTGTTTCTTGTTGTCATCCTAGTGCACAACTGTATATATATAAAGTTGTTCTTAGGTCAATCGCCGTTGAATTTTTTTTCCACTTTACACGAGCGAAGCAGGAATAAATTTTACAAGCAAAATTTTACCGCTTAGCACAAAGACCGAGTACTACAGTATATAGTCATATACAGAAAATATTTAAAGGGTATGGGCAATGATGTTCATGTCTGTTTTTGCAAGAAAGAACTCCGTATTTTATCATTTTCCTTGTTGAGATATTTGAGGTTGTTTAATATGCAAATTTGCAAAGACGTCACAAGCTGGTAAAATATTTTTAAAGAATGCCAGTCACCGGCATCAAATTTATAAAAGCTCACTATTCAAAACATCTGTTATTCAAAACAAATGAAATAATTTAAGTCTGTATCGATGATTCCATTGACCAATCAAGTCTGGAAGAAGTTGTTATCATCTTGTTACAAGGTTGATGATGGTAACAGACTAGCTTAAAATGCCAGTCCCGCCAAAGTCATAAAAGCTCACTATTCAAAATAGATGAAATGATTTAAGTCTGTATCGATGATCCATTGACCAATCTGGCATACAAAAATATGAAGTTTTTAATGGAGTCCTGTGGACTGTCAAAAATTTAACCCAGCTTGTGACGTCATCTTATTTCCATGTTAAATTAACTGAAATATCTAACGAAAGAAAAATATAAGAATTTTGCAAGCTGACTTATTTTACAGTTTAAGCACAGAATAAAGACCAACAGAAGGGCCACTCAGCAGCGCAACGCGTCCTCGTTTTTTATACAAAAATATGTAGTTTACTGGCCAGAAGGCGGAGCAGCCAGCCAGTACAGCGTGTTTATTGGCCGGAAAATGTCAATGACTGGCTAGGAAAATGGCGGCCAACATGCGTAATGCGACATGCGCGAGGACAGAAACTTCAAAGATTCAGACGTAAGTGGCCCTTCTGTATGGATCTTTATTCTGTGGTTTAAGTACTAATACCATACCCTTTAATTATCAGTATTTGTACACATAATAAAACATTAAAAGTTGAGGTTTTACATTATATCACAGCTAGGTTTCTTTGGACAACGTATACATTTCGATCAAAGACAACTTATGAGACCTGCTGTTTCGGCCAGTGACTTGGGAGTCACTCTTGACTCTCATTTAACTTATGACGATCATATAACTAAAACGATAATTGTGCCAAATCTATCGTGTAAAAGATTCCTTTGATAGAGACACCCTAATACTAATTATTCAATCATTGGTCATGCATGGGCAAGTTATATTACTGTTCTACTGACTGGGCCAATACGTCATCAATAAACATTAAGAAGCTACAATTGGTACAGAACTTCGCCGCCATAATTATTACGCATGCAACCTGCTTACACAACCGTGAGTTGTACTGTGTAAATCAACATACAACTCGATGTATTTTTTGAGTGGACAAAATCGCTTAATCAAACACGTCAAGTGTTCTTTAAAAAACTCGCGACAAACTTTTGACGAGGAGATATTTAATAATTAATATGTAGTTCAATGTTTCATAAATTTATCATATTCATTTTAATTCATCACACAATTTGATAAAAACTGATTACGGCGTTTTGAGCGGGGCAATTAGCCTTCGTTAGAAAATGAGATCAGATTTCTCTCTCAAAACGTTGCATCCGGTCAGTAATCGAAAGTTCTTCGCCATGTGCGTTTGGTGTAAAAACGTAATATCGTGCTGTTTCACTTTCAAAAACTGAGTGTTTGTCAGTGCAAACCATTGGTGCAAACAGGACGAAAAGTACTCATTATGTCAGCTACAATATACGGTATTTTGTAAAGAATGCCATACAAATTCGTGTTTGTTTGTTTGTTTGATTGTTTCCCAAGTGCTCACTGTTGTTTGATAAATATGTCTTTAAAAAACGAAGTTCTTTTAGTGTGGGTTATCTGTTTGTCTTGCAAAGTAGTTTTGACCGGTTGTGAAGTGGTTTTGGTCAATCGAGATCATCGAGACAGCTTTCATGTTGGGAAAAATGGTTGTACGTATGATTCAAGTATTTGTACGAATTCCCATGCAACATGTATAAGACCTGGTGGGCTGTGTTTGTGCGGTATTCGTAAACCTAATTATAGAAATCCTCATGGTACAAGACCTGGTGACGATAAAGGTCGTGGCTGTCTAAGCAGTGATAATATGCGCGGTGACCTATTTGGTGAGTGTTAATAATTCATTTCAACTTTATAGGTAAACATTTAGACTTGCTTCACATGTATAAGCTTCTATAACATAAATAATTTGATTATTAAAGTTTTCGCGTTAAGGCTTTTGTGCTAAATGTATCTGACATTGATGAACGATAATATTTACAGACCGATATACGTGTTTATTTTCATGAAACACATACGCCGTATTTTAAAAGGAGGGTCCTGAAGGGGGGTCGTATTCCCATTTCCCAGCCCAAATTTTGACTAAATCCCATTGTCCCAGAGCACAAATCCCATCATCTCAGTGGCTGTCCTGCTCAAATCTTAATCCCATTCCCATTTTCTATTGTTTTTTTCTGATAAATCCCAGTCCCAGTGCATGAAATCCCATTTTCCCACCCAAAAATAAGCAAATCCCAGTTCCAATTTTACCCAGTCAGGACTACACTCAATGAGTGGAGGTTCAATCTAAGCTTCTCTTGAGTGTCAATGCCGTTTTTGAATAGCTGGAGGGTGAGTAGTTACCGAAGTAAGGTATTACACTAGCCCTCCAGCTATTCAAAAACTGCATTAACACTCAAGAGAAGCTCAGATTGAACCTCCACTCATTGAGTGTGAGTGAGCTTTTAGAATACGGGCGATAATTACACGGTAAAAACTGGTAGGTTAATTAAAAGAACCTATAGTTTTGTATAAAAGTTGCAATCAATGTTATAGGTTGATTTAACCAACTGAAGTCTAGGATGAAACCAATATAAATAGGTTAAAATAACCTATTATTATTTGGTCAATTGTAAATGATTGGCTATAACCAGTAGAAATTGGCTGTAAAACCGATTGAATAGGTATTTTGAACGATTTTATAGTCATAACTAATAAAAATAGGTCCATTTCACAATCATTTTGGTCATGTAAATTAATTCGCTATATAGCGTTTGAAGTCGGTGGATATAATCCATTACTATTTGGTCAACTGGAGTTATTGGTTATAATAATAAATTGTGTTATCCATTATTATTATAGTCGGATAACATTATGGAGTTTATTACAAGCTTACTTGTATATAATATTGGAAATTGCATTTTAGTATCGAGAAAACAATATTGACCATGCATGCAATATTGAAATATTTTTGTGTTCAAGCAGTTGCCTCTGCACTAGCTATAGCATAGGCGTATGAGGCAGCGAGAGGGGGCAGCTGACAGCTGCCCATGCAACTTTATAAGTTCCAAACTCTGATCTTTGTTGCATCATGTCCGGATGATATATAAAGATAATATATGAAAGACACCTTGCAAATCGTATTTGGGCTAATGGCCAGAATGAACAGCACAAATGAGTGACTTGTCAATGTTGCAAACTTCCTTTAGTTCATCCTGGTAAAAAATCAATGTGATTTTAAATATTATGTAAATATAGGAGGATCCGACCACTGCGCATTGGGACCTTTTCGACTTATATCCTACAACCAGAACGAAACAGCCAGGAAGTTCAGTGATATTGATAATCCGAATTTAGTGATGAAGAGTTGTTCCTTGAGAAATGTCCTCGTAAAGTTTCCAGACAAGGCTGTAGAAATGGAGCTGCAATGGCTGGATGAATCTGACGTTGATTTGAACGTCTCGAACAACGACCTGTATTTTAAAGTACGTATAACTAAATTTATTCCTATTTCTCTTCAGCTATGTTTAAAACTAATTTACGTTTCCGTTTCTAGTGGAAAAGGGCAGTTCCGAATTTGCAAGGAACGATAATTACGTTCAATCTCTATTGCAAGGTGCAGATCCAAGGTGTCACGGCTGACCAATCTAACCAAAGAAAATGCATGCGAGCAAAGATTCATGGAACATGGTTTGCAGGTAACTGCTACAAAATGTTTAATTATAAACCAGTAACTATACGTAACGTAACTATTATGCTTTACATCGTCTAGACCATGTACCAACTGAGCCAACAGAGGTCTCTACATCATCTGAGCCGACAGAGACCTCTACACCAACTGAGCCAACAAAGGTCTCTGTACTAACTAGACCAACAGAGGTTTCCACACAAACTGAACCAACAAAGGTCTCTATACCATATGAAACGACAAAGATTTCTACACCATCTGAGCCAACAGAGGTCTCTACACCAACTGAATCATCAAAGATTTTTACACCAACTGAGCCAAAAGAGGTCTCTGTACCAACTGAGCCAGAATACATTTCTACACCAACAGAGGCAATAGTGACCTCCAGCCAACCTAAATCTTCACAGATAATAACAAAATCAACTTCGTCTGTAACAGTAACAACAGCAGAACCGAGTATGTTTCAAAAATAATTTCTTTATTTTTATTTTTATTTCATTGAATTGTGTAGACGTCTTTATATATTTTTAAGATGCAAATTTTTTTAAAGTCACGTATTTAAAATGAAAAGTGTTCAAAACCTAAAATATTTTTGACGTTCCTCTCAAAAGTACTTTGTTTTAGCTTTATTCTCTGGTTTATAGAGTTAGCTACCTTTTTAAATGCATCTGCCGGTTGAGAAACATAAAATAATAGTTAAAAATTGTCAATTAAAATGTAATGATCGATAATGCTTTAAAATTGACGCCATATTTACAACCAATATAAGCAAAACTTACTGAACTTCAGACATCATTTTCTCTTTGGCGTATCATCTAAAATCTCTTCATTTTAGCATTATTTTACAGATAAAGCACTCAACATACTTTTTAAGTTTGTTTGCCGATTGAGAAACGTATCGAAAAATAAAAATTTTGAATTTAGTCATGACCTCAAGCACAGTGATATATTATACGCCGTAGTTTTGAGCACGTGTTACGTAACATACAAAAAAATCTCCTCTTAATCGTGCCTTTTTCTCCGCAGTAGAAGATAGCTAGACGCCAATAATGTCGGACTTTTTATAGGAATTATATAAATAATACGCAATTGTCTACTTCTTTAACAACTTAATACGGGCTTTTTCCAACGTCAATTTTTGCGTTATTCTCCAACCAAGTTCTTCTAGGGAATATGGAGCATTTTAACTTGAAAATTCAGCCTCATCCTCGGACACTACTATAAATATGGAGCTTTCAGCACATGATGAAAAATCCTAAATAAGGGAAACTATTCCTTGTGCAGGTCTGAGATTCAATCAGTTTTCAAAGCAATCCTTATATTTGTACTAAGTCGTATGACTATAGCACGAAATTAAATGAAATAACTCTTTGATGTCCACATATCCATGTACCACATACAATGGACAATTCTTCACATATATAATAGAAAACTGAACAATGCATGGTAAATTATTCTTCCTAGGAACAAATCTCATCGGTTCAACTCCTGTAGTAACTAAGGCACCAACGACATCAGTATTGACCTCAACTGGTACCATGACAATGTCGCGTACCACTTCAGCTCGTTCCAGTTCTCCGGGTGAAGGATCGAGCAGTGATGGTGTTTTCAGTGGAGCAATTATTGCCATAGCTGTTATGGTAGCTGCAGTACTGTTGATAAGCTTGGTTGTCCTTGTCTGGTTGTTGTGTAAACGCAAGAAGAGAAATGGGTAAGCTTTCTTAAAACATCAATCAATAATTTTGGTTTAGTATCATGCAATGTGTGACATAATATCGACAAAATTGAAATTTCTCCCATGGAAATTTATTACATTTAAAGTAATTACAGTTTTGATGTTTTCCTCAACTAATGGATCAATGAAAAGCTTCGCATAATTATTAATGACAATGATATCAATGACGGGAAAAGATTACACCTCATGTTCTTTGATATTTTTACAACAGCCCAAGAAATTCAAGTCGTGGAATTCCCTGCAGAGAAAACGGTATGTACAATTATGTATAATGTTTTCAATACCTCTGCATGATCTAACCATGCTTGACTCAGCTGTGAGTTTTGTACAACATCAGATCACTTTAAGTTAGCTTATATTCAAGAACATGTACTACCACTGCTTGATCTGACCATTCTTAACTCAGCAGTGAGTTCTGTACAACAACAGATCACTTTAAGGTAGCCCACATTCAAGAACATGTACTACCTCTGTATGATCTAACCATGCTTAACTCAGCAGTGAGTTCTGTACAACAACAGATCACTTTAAGGTAGCTCACCTTTAAGAGCATGTATTGATGTACCTGTGGCTCTGCAATCTGCATGATTTAAGTATGCTTACCTCAGCAGTGAGGTTCTGTACAACACCAGATCACTATAAGACAGGTCATATTGAAGAACATGTACTACCTCTGCATGATCTTAACTATGCATATTTGACGCAACAGTGAGTGCTATACAACACCAGATCACATAAGGATGAATGGATGATAGCCCACATTCTTAAACATATATGACCTCTGAATGGCTTAGCCATGCTTAACTCAGCATTGAGTTTTGTACAACATCAGATCACTTGAAGGTAGCTCATTCTCAAGAACATATGTACTATCTCTAGCCATGCTTACTCAGCAGTGAGTTCTGTACGGCAACATTGGACAAAAATAGTTCACTGTGGAACATGTAACTCAGCCATCATGTCAGTAACGCATGCGTCAGTGATTGATGCTTCTCTAACAGTACGTCTTATTTTGTCAATTCAGGTTCGACGAGCATGAAACAGTTCAGATACACAGAGAGTAATAGTCGAACACCAGATGCTTATGGAGACACCAGAGACACAAACGAAACGTTAGCTGTTTACTCTAACCCTCTTTATACAACGATAAATGTCCATAGTGAGGTTGTAGAAGGTGACCCCGTTTATGAAACGCCACATAGCCAGAACGTTATGGTGGAAGCTAACGACCCTGATTATGCAACGCCAAAAAATGATCCTGCTTATACAACGCCAAATAGTGATCCAGCTTATGCAACGCCAAATAGTGACCCTGCTTATGCAACGACAAATAATTACTCTGCTTATGCAACGACAACTAATGACTCTGCTTATGCAACGCCAAATAGTGATCCAGCTTATGCAACGCCAAATAGTGACCATGATTATGCAACGACAAATAATAACCCTGCTTATGCAACGCCAAATAACCCGTCCGTGGTTATAGAAGCTAACGATTCTGCTTATGCAACGCCAAGCAATGACCCTGCTTATGCAACGACAAATAATGACCCTGCTTATGCAATGCCAAATAACAACCCTGTTTATGCAACGCCAGATAACCAGCGCATGCTCGTGGAAGCCAACAATCGTCAGGCTAATACTTATACAAGGCCAGATAGCCAGTGCGTGGTTGTGGAAGAACACCAGATAGCCAGCGTTTGATTGAAGAAACTAATGACCATGTTTATACAACGCCAGATAATGGTGTGATTGTAGAACCTAACCACTCACTCATGACTCAAGCATGACTCACTCAAATATTGAAAACTAAAAAGCAATGTCAACAGTCGTATTACAATACAATATGTTAATCAACTCACGCTCTTTTCTTTTTAATTTTGTTTATAAAATTTGTTGTTGTTTTTAACTGTCTTATCCTTTTTAGTGGAGAAAATCGCTTGACCTTTAATCAAAGCAAGTCAAGTGTGCTTTAAAAACATCTCGTGACAAACTTTTGTTGCACGAGATGTTTATGAAGTTGTATGTTTTACAAATTTCCCATATTCAATTTTGAATCCTCGCGTTTTGAGCGCGAGGAGTCCTCGTAGAACACTGGAGAGTGGATTCTTCTCTTAAAACATTGAATTCTGTTTTAATCGAAAGTTCTTTACCATGAGGTTTTGGCGTTAAAAAGTAATATTATGATGTTTCACTTTCAAAAATTGAGTGTTTACAAATTCAAACAAGACCACAAATGCTCATGATTCTCTTACTATATACAAAATAGTGTCGGTTCCAATATACAGTATTTTGAAAGGAATACCATATAAATGCGTGTTTCTTTTCCAAGTAGTCATGCACAACATGGTGTTTGACAATTATGTCTTTAAAATACACAGTGGTGTTAGTGTGGGTTATTTATTTGTGTTACAAAGTGGTTATAACTGGTTGTGAAGTGGTTTTGGTGAATCGAAATGTTACAGACAGCTTCCGTTTTGGGAAAGATGGTTGTACGAATGATGAACGTGTTTGTACAAGTTCGGCAACATGTCAGTCTGATGGCTCGTGTTTGTGTAGTGCTGATAAACCTAATTTTAGAAATCCTGCAACAAGATCTGGTGTTGATAAAAGTTATGGCTGTCTTGACAGTGAGAGTATCCGCTTTGGCCTGGTTGGTGAGTGGCTTGTAATTCATTTCAACTTAACATTTGTGCCACCAAATGATTGAATTATTAAGTTTCCATTGTTAAAGAGTTTACTGAAGATTATTATACGCATAATGACATAAAGTTTGCATTAGGTTTAATAGTTGACTTTGTGCCAAATCTGTGTGACATGATGATGCACAATAATATCTACAAACAATATACATGTTTATTCTGAAATACGCCAATCTTACCGTAATAAACCTTTCCGGTAATTGCGTCACAGCTATATTGATTTCAACTTAGGACCACCTTAAATGGAATGGATTTCAAGTTTTTTTCTCATCGGCTGGATTTCAAGGGATTTTTCTCATAAATAAGATATGCTCGGTTATAATACAAAGTAGCACAATACTTGTATACTGACAGAACAAAGCATCATTTTCACAAAGAAGCATTAATTTCCTATTAAGTTCCTATTAATTTCGAATGAAGCACTATTTTCCATGCTTACTCATATACTGTATCTAATTAATGTGGGCACATCAGCATAATTGCCCTTAATCTAGTCAAATATGGTTAAAAGACTTTTCTGAATTTTCAAATTGGATTTTTTCTACCCAACTCTCGAACATCAGTGGGAATACTATTCCAAAAATTAGTTTTAATTTGAGTATTCAACATAGAAGTTATTTGATACAATTCTATTACTAGGTTATAAAAACGTTTCCACTGACGATGTTTTGAACGATGTTCCTGCACATCTGCTTAATTTACATATAATAAAATAAAATAAACTCAAATTGAATAGAATCTCAACACCAATCCCATGCAATCCTGACATTCTCTATACAAATCCTGATCCTTGTAGCAACATATCAGGCTAATGTAGAGATAAAATGACGTGAAAGGCAACCTGCAAGTCGTATAGGTATAAAATAGCCAGAATGAACGAAGCGAATGAGCGATTTGTCAATTTTGCAAAATTTATTTAGTTTGACTTACCCAAAAAGTCGATCATATTCTAAACTTTATTTAACTATAGGGGGATCCGAAAACTGCTCATTTGGCCCTTTTCAACTTCTACCCTACAGCCAGAACAAACCAGCCAGAAAATTCAGTGGCAGTGACAATCAAAGGATGGAGAATTGTTACTTGTTCTATCTCCCACAGGCAAAGTTTCCAAACAACGCCACAGAAATAGAGCTGCAACGGTTTGAAAAATCTGACGTTGATTTGAACGTCTCTAATAATGACCTGTATTTCAAAGTACGTATAAATGTATTCAATCATTCATATTTGTCTTTAACTGTGCGTAAAATTAGTTTGTTTTTCCGTTCCTAGTGGAAAAGGTCGGTTCCAAATTTGAAAGGGACGATAATTACTTTCAGTCTCCAATGCGTGGCGAAGAACGAGAATGCACGGAGAACGACACACCAAATAACATGCCTGCGAGCAAAGGTTCTTGGAACATGGTCTGCAGGTAATTGTTAGAAAAATAAAACTTTAAAATACAATACTGAAGGCTGCATTAAAATCCTTCCAACCTGTGAGCATGTGTAATGAAGTTATAGTATCATATAGTTTGAATGGCGAGCTTATATATGAAACAAGAAGTTTCAGTACATAATTAAAACTCTTTAAAGAAACAAGTTCCAGCTGGAAGAACCAACTGAGCCGACAGTAACCTCCAACCAACGTTCATATCAATCATTCTAAATAATCATACGCATACATAACTATATAAATGATTCACCTTCGTCTAGATGCTGTTTCTGAGTCAACGAAAGTCTCTGTATCAACTGAGCCAACAATAACTTCTACCAAACCTAAATCTTCACAGACAACAACAATATCAACCTCGTCTGTACTAACTGGGCCAAAAAAGGTCTCTCTATCAACAGACGCAAGAGTAACCTCCATCCATCCTAAATCTTTACAGATAACAACAAAATATACTTCGTTTGTAGCAGTCACAACAGCAGAAACAAGTATGTTTTATAGGCAACTTCTTTATTTCTTTTGTGCTTTCGTCTTTATATATTATTAGTGGGAAATTATTTAAATGCTTCATTTTATCCAGACACCGTCTCTACACCGACTGAGGTCTCTTCGCCAACTGAGCCAATAGAAATCACTCCACCAACTGAGGCTACAAATGTCCCTGTATCAACAGGGGCAACAGTAACCTCCAGCCAACGTAAATCTTCCCAGATAAAAACAAAATCAACTTCCTCTTTAACAGTATCAACAGCAGAACCAAATAAGTTTTACAAATAACTTCTTTAATTTTTATTCCATTGAATTGATGTCTTTACTTTTACTCATGCCTTTTTCTCTGTAGCAGACCATGCTCTAGCTTGCCGCCAAAAGGGGTTAAGCGGTTACGAATTAAATAATAGATATCCAGCTCTCCATGTACATCTAAAATTGAAAACTGCATGGTAAATTATTCTTCCTAGGAACAATTCCCACCGGTTTAACTCCGGTGGTAACTAAAGAACCAACGACATCAGCATTAAACTCAACTGGTACCATGTTGCCTACCACTTCAACTCGTTCTAGTGAAATATCGAGCAGAGATGGTGATTCCAGTAGTAGAGCAATTATTGTCATAGCTGTTTTGGCAGCTGTAACACTGTTGATAATCTTGGTTGCCATTATCTGGTGCTTGTGTAAACGCAAGAAGAGATACAGGTAAGCTTTTTAAAGACATCAATGAATAACGTTTCGTGTCTGTTTGGGTTTAGTATCATGTAATGTGTCAAGGCCTCTTTTAAGAATTTGTCAGCGGGGGGCATTTACAAAAGGGACCATACTGTACTGAGTATAGAAGGATGGCAGATGGTTATTGGTAATAAAAAGTTTGGTGTGGTGTCGCATGTATTAGTAGGTGGGTCTTTGAAAATCTTTGTATTTTTCCACTCCCAGGACTGCATATATTTTGTGCATTTTCTGAAACGGATTTTTGGAGATACAGCGTTACATTATTCTGTAGATAGACCGAATCTTCAGTTAAGTACTTCCGTCGTATGTTTATGTAAAACTGCCACTCGATCGCTAATTTGTTTAGTCTAGCCTTTCATCAACTCAAATCTATGGGGTCTGGGATATGCTACACACTTGGAAAGTATTTACAACACAATGTATAGTATTTTTTAAAAGACATTGAATCAGTTGAAGATAAAAGACAGGACATGAGATTCACAAAGCAAGGTTCAGTTACTAGAATATCAAACCTCTCTTCTAAATTCTATTTTTCTTCTAATGTTTTACTTATCTTTTAGAGAAAAGAGACCTTGACTAGAGCGGGGATGGTTGACTGAGGGGAGGCACCATGGGTGCTGGGAGATGGGGGGGGGGGGCTGGCTTTGGCCCAGTTATATAGAGTGAAAAAAGACCCTGCAATGTGTGACATAATATAGCCAAAATTGAATCAGTATCTCTCATTAAATTTGAAGTAATTGCAGTTTTGATGCTTTCCTCAACTAATGGATCAACAAAAAGCCTCACATAATTATTAATGAGAATGACATCACTAGAAAATGTCACACCTCATGTACTTTGATATTTTTACAACAGCCTAAGAAAGCATTCAAGTCACGGAAGTTCCTGCAAAGAAGACGGTATGTATAATTATGTATACTATTATTTCTATTTAACTATTTAATTACTTTAAGATTGTTCACATTGCAGAACATGTACTACCTTTGCTTAACTCAGTAGTGGGTTCTGTACAACATCAGATCACTTTAATAATGGATAGCACACATTCAAGGACATGTACTACTTCCGCATGATCTAATCCTGATTGACTCAGCAGTGAGTTCTGTGCAGTATTAGATCACAGTGCGTCTTATTTTCTCAATTCAGGTTCCATGGGGATGAAGCAGTTCAATTACACAGAGAGTAATCTACGCGGCCCAGACGATCATGCTTATGCAACGCCAAATGTACAGACTGAGAGTACCGTTGTAAAAGCTAACTCTGCTTATGAAACTCCAGATAGCCAGTTCGTGGTTGTAGAAGCCAACCCTGCTTATGAAATTCCAGATAACCAATTCGTGGTTGTACAAGCTAAACCTGCTAACGAAAAGCCAGATAGCCAGAGTGTGATTGTAGAAGCTAACCCTGCTTATGAAAAGCCAGATAACCAGAGAGTGATTGTAGAAGCCAACCCTGTTTATGAAAAGCCAGATAGCCAGAGTGTGATTGTAGAAGCTAACCCTGCTTATGAAACGTCAGATAGCCAGAGTGTGGTTGTACAAGCTAACCCTGTTTATGAAACGCCAGATAGCCAGAGTGTGATTGTACAAGCTAACCCTGCTTATGAAATGCCAGAGAGCCAGAGTATGGTTGTAGAAGCTAACCCTGCTTATGAAACACCAGATAGCCAGAGTGTGATTGTAGAAGCTAACCCTGCTTATGAAACACCAGATAGCCAGAGTGTGATTGTAGAAGCTAACCCTGCTTATGAAACGCCAGATAGCCAGAGTGTGATTGTAGAAGCTAACCCTGCTTATGAAACGCCAGATAACCAGAGTGTTGTTGTAGAAGGTAACCCTGCTTATGAAACGCCAGATAGCCAACGCGTGGTTGTAGAAGCTAACCCTGCAGATCATAAAAGTAAAGAAGCCAATATCGCCAGTTGTAATCCAGAACCTGGATATGAATCCGTCGATATGAAAAAGAGAGTGTCCAACGATTCTCAAGTAGATCCTGTGTATGCGACGCCTGATGTCAAAAAAAGAGAAGTCGATCGCGTTAATTCTTATCCAGATCCTGGGTATGAACTCATCAATCGTGTTAATTCTTATCCGGAGCCTGGGTATGAAACTCCAGATTTCAAAAAGAAAGAAATCAATGCGGCTACTGCAAATTAGTGAGAATGTAAGAAAATTTTTAATATCAGTATTTTCAATAAACAGTAAAAGCTTAAGCTTTATATCGTGTATTAACGATTAAGGACGCAAGATATTTCGTTCCACAAAGAAAACAAATAATATTAATGCTTTATGGTTTAATCGGAGTCACGGCTGAAAATAATAAACAACAGCGATAACATTAATATTAACTAGAGGGCACTCAGAGACTGCATACCTCCGCCTACGGGCAAAATATTGAAGTAATCTATTGTTATTAGAATTTGAATGGCTGGTGCATATATTATGCACGTCCTAATTACGCATTCAGTACAAAGTTTTATTTAATTGACCGGGAAAAGCAAGATAAACTTTTGTTATTTCTCATTCAATTTTTAACCAAATTCAACCAAATTTTAATCAGTTCTTCCTTAGCCGATGGGAAACGCACTCGCAAAATTTCGTACGGATATGTTTGGTATTTCTTGAGTTATCGTGCTCACAGACAAACACACACACACATACATACACACATACATACACACATACATACACACATACACACACACACACACATACACACACACATACAAACCCAGATGATTACATAACCTCCTGGCGGAGGTAATAATAATTAATGATAATATAAGCTGGTGAAAATGAAATAAATATATATTTTAAACCAAACCAAAGAGCGTCCAAAAAACTTAATATGAATAACCCTCATGGTTTCGCCTCAAACATCTTTGATTAAATATTGTATTATGCCTCATGTTGCAGTGCTTTTGGACCATAATGCACCGCGGTACATAAAATGGCGCACTTCTAGCCTGTGCAACGTTCTAGTGTCATTTCTGGCGCGCCAAACGCGATCATATTGTACGCTACGCTATTAATATAACACAGAGGCTGTGTACTATACTCCCTAGCCCTTCGTCAACCCGCGAATTTTAGGGCGGGCGAAACGTAGGTCTGTTTTCAGGCTATATACTCCCGAAACAACTTGTTTTAAAATTTCCTGACGTCTTTGTCTCGAAGCAGCCGCTCCTACAATGTTGGTTTAGACCTGACCAATTTATAAGCTGTCAACATTGAACCGGGGGGATGGGGAGTTAAAAATTGCTTTTCTTGCACGTGTCTGTTAGGCAAGGCAGATATTTTTATTTCCGCGCGCGCTGTCCACAATAGTTTTTGCCAGGATTGTAGGTTTCTTTCCGCTCTGCGCAATTCGTTCTGTTCCATACGCCCGCAAAGAACCAACTGCGCGATTCAGAAAAGGCCGTTTTAAAACCCCTAACTTACGACAAAGTAGACTATAGTTTTGTGCTTGATTTACACAGTACAGCTCAAGTTGTAAGCAGGTCACATGCGACAGTCAGGGCCGTAGCGACCGGTATGTGTGGGGGGGGGGGAGGTGCCACACCCCCTACACCCCCAGCCCCTAATAATTGCTCATGAGCAATATCAGGTAGATTTCCAGTAGATTTTTAGGTAAATTCAGGTAATTCTCAGGGCATAAGAAAGTGAATTGGGAAAAATAGTTCGATCTGCGGAAAACATTTTTTGTATTTTTGTAAAAATTAAGATATCTCCGGGAAAATGTTTGTATTTTCGGAAAAATTATGATTTCCGGAAACATTCCCCCCCCCCCCTCCCCTGGCGACAGTTTTAAGCAAAAGCTGCTAGTGTGAATTACACAGAGTTCAATTCCTTGAGAAAACTGTTCTGGCGAGGTTCCCAGACATGGTGGAAGGTAATTGACCGTGTTTATATCAACGCCACGGATAGCCAGCGCGTGATTGTGAAAGTTAACCACTCACTCATGACTCGCGCACAGAATAAGGCACACAGAAGGGCCACCCTGGCCGCCATCTTCCTAGCCAGTCGATTTAGTTTTCTGGCCAATAAACGCGCTGTATTGGCTGAAGGCCCCGCCTTCTGGCCAGTCAACTGCATATTTTTGCATAGAAAAATGGTGACACGAGTGGCCCTTCTGGTACTGATCTTTATTCTGTGACTCGAGCACGACTCACTAAAATATTGAAAACTGAAAAGCAATGTTAAAGTGCATATGACATTAATTTTTTTATTTTCTCAACTGAAAGAACTCTTTAAGCTGTAGTGTAACTTATTTTTCAGTTCCTTGTTCTCATGGTTTGTTCCCGAGATATTTCAATTTGTTTGGTATGTAAATGAGTGTGAATATGTCCGCTAATTTATGACGTCACGTTGTTTGCAAGCTCAACTTACACTGGTTATAAATCTATTAACTCTAAAAACTGTAGTATCCCCAGTATTTTTTCACATTTACCAGTGAGTGAAGTTACAAATTATTATCTTGGATGATTGCCGTGATATTCAACCATTTTGAAGAGCTTGCAACCAACATGACGTCATAAATTAGCGGACATATTCACACTCATTTACATACCAAAAAATTGAAATATCTCTGGAACAAACCATAAAAACAAGAAACTGAAAAATAAGTTACACTACAGCCTAATTTAATTAAAGAGTTCTTTCATTTAAGAAAACAAAAAAATTAAAATTCATGTCATATGCACTTTAACAGTCATATATGTCAATACAATATGTAAATCACGAATATCTCTTTAGTATTGTTTAAAATGAGAGTTGTTTCACTTGTATTACCCTTTTTAGTGGCTTCATCGTTGATCAAATTAAGCATGCCAAATGCACTTTAAAAATCTCGCGACAAACGTTTATTACCGCTCGAGGAGATTTTTATACAGTTTATATATGTTTTACAAATTGCCATATTTAATTCATTAGCTACATCAATTTGATGAAAATATGACGGCATTTTGAGAGGGGAGAACCGTTGTCAAAAAATGAGAGCAGAAACGCTGAATCCAGTTTTAATCGAAAGTTTTTTTGCCATGAGGGTTTGGTATAAAAACGTAATATCAGGCTGTTTCACTTTCAAAAGCTGAGTGTTTATCAATTCAGACAGGCGACAAATGCTCATGATTCTCTTTTTTTACAAAATGTCAGCTTCAATATGTAGTGTTTTGTGAGGAATACCATAAAATTCATGTTTATTTCTCATGTAATCACTACTATTTGACAAATATGTCTTTAAAAAACAAAGTTATTTTAGTGTGGGTTATTTATTTGTCATACAAAATCATTGTGACTGGTTGTGAAGTGGTTTTGGTCAATAGAAATGTTAGAGACAGCTTTCGTGTTGGGAAGGATGGTTGTACGAATGATGAAAGTGTTTGTACAAGTTCAGCAACATGTGAGTCCGATGGCTTGTGTTTGTGTAGTGCTGGTAAACCTAATTTTAGAAATCCTGCAACAAGAGCTGGTGATGATAAAAATTATGGCTGTCTTGACAATGAGAGTATCCGCACTGGCCTGGTTGGTGAGTGCCTTGTAATTCATTTCAACTTAACATCTGAATGTGCCACCTGTGGTGACACCAACTATAATTGAATTATTAAGTTTCCATTATTAAAGAGTTCGCTGAAGATTATTATATACATAATGACATAAAGTTTGCACTAGGCTTTATAGTTGGCGTTTGTGACAAATCTATGTGACACGATGATTCACAATAATATCTACAGACAATACACGTGTTTATTCTGAAATACGCCAATCTTGCCGTAATTTCTACCTAGGTTATAAAAACGTTTCCGCTGACGATGTTTTGAGCGATGTTCCTGCACATTTGCTTAATTTACATAAAAAATAAAACAATCTCAATTTGAATACAATCACAACACCAATTCCATGCCATCCTAACATGCACTATACAAATTCTGATCCTTGTAGTGGTATCCCGAAAGACACTTTTGCCGAAAGACACTTTTGCCGAAAGACACTTTGCCGAAAGACATTTTGCCGAAAGACATTTTGCCGAAAGACACTTTGCCGAAAGACACTTTGCCGAAAGACACTTTGCCGAAAGACATTTTGCCGAAAGACACTTTGCCGAAAGACATTTTGCCGAAAGACACTTTGTCTTTGCCGAAAGACACTTTGCCGAAAGACATTTTGCCGAAAGACATTTTGCCGAAAGACACTTTGCCGAACGGACATTTTGCCGAAAGACACTTTGCCGAAAGACATTTTGCCGAAAGACACTTTGCCGAAAGACATTTTGCCGAAAGACACTTTGCCGAACGGACATTTTGCCGACGGACGTTTTGCCGAACGGACGTTTTGCCGAACGGACATTTTGCCGAACGGACTGTTTGACGAACGGACAGTTTACCGAAAGGAAAATTTGCCGAAAATAGAGATGTTATTTCGTCAAAATTTTTGAGACTGTGACTCATTTCTCAACTGTGTAATTCTCAACCATTGTGTAAAATGACCATTATGTGGTCATTAGCAATGCATAATGGTCGTTAGCAGTGCATAATCACATTGACTATTGGTAGCTTTTTGTGCAGCGGATGACTCGATCATCTGTTAGGAACGTGTTTTGACGATATAAAGACAACTACGTAGGTGAATTTCACTTCGACAATCATGGAATACATTCACAGTTCTCGGGAAAATTCCTATAAATTTGTCAAAAACTCGAAAGAATATAAAACGAAACTATACTTCACTATCAAAGTTTCTGTCATCAAAATCGACAATGACTTTAATCACAGAAACTTTGACCTTTAAGGTTCAGAAGATATCTCTATTTTCGGCAAGCTTTCCGTTCGTCAAAACTGTCCGTTCGGCAAAATGTCCATTCGGCAAAATGTAGTCCATTCGGCAAAATGTCCATTCGGCAAAATGTCCGTTCGGCAAAACGTCCGTTAGGCAAAACGTCCGTTAGGCAAAACGTCCGTCGGCAAAATGTCCGTTCGGCAAAATGTCTTTCGGCAAAGTGTCTTACGGCAAAATGGCCGGCCACCCCTTGTAGTAGCATGTCATGCTCGTATAGAGATAGATTTACGTGAAAGACAACTTGCAAATCGTATAGGTCTAACATACTGCCATAATAAACGAAACGAATGAGTGACTTGTCAATTTTGCAAAATTTCCTTACTTTGACCTACTCAAAAAGTGAATCTTATTTTAAATTTTATTTGAATATAGGAGGATCCAAAAACTGCACATTAGGCCCTTTTCAACTTGTATCCTACAACCAGAACAAACTATCCAATAAATTCAGTGGCTCTGACAATCAAAGACAAAGGATGGAGAGTTGTTACTTGTTGTATCTCCCACAGGCAAAGTTTCCAAACAACACCAAAGAAATAGAGCTGCAACAGTTTGATAAATCTGATGTTGCTTTGAACGTCTTTAATAACGAACTGTATTTCAAAGTACGTAAATGTATTCATTCATATTTCTCTTTAGCTATGTGTAAAATTAGTTTGTTTTTCCATTTCTAGTGGAAAAGATCAGTTCGAAATTTGCATGGAACGATAATCACATTCAGTCTCAGTTGCGCGGTAAAGACCAAGAATGCACAAAGAGCGACTCACCAAATAACATGCCTGCGAGCAAAGGTTCTTGGAACATGGTCTGCAGGTAACTGTTAGAAAAATAAAACTTCAAAACACAATACTGAAGACTTTGCATTAAAATCCTTCCAACCCGCATGCGTAATGAAGTTAAATAGTATCGTATAGTTTGAATGGCGAGCTTATATATTAAACAAGAAGTTTCGGTACATAACTAAAAGTCTTTAAAGAAACAAGTTCCAACTGAAAGAACCAACTGAGCCGACAGTAACCTCCAACCAACTTGCGTATATCAATCATTCTAAATTATCATACATATACATAACTATATAAAATGCTTCACCTTCGTCTAGATGCTGTTTCTGAGTCAACGAAAGTCTCTGTATCAACTAAGCCAACAATAACCTCCACCAAACCTAGATCTTCACAGATAACAACAAAATCAACTTCGTCTGTACCAAGTGAGCCAACAAAGATCTCTACACCAACTGAGCCAAGAATAACCTCCAGCCAATCTAAATCTTCACAGATAACAACAAAATCAACTTCATCTGTACCAAGTGAGCTAACAAAGACCTCTGCACCAGCTGAGACCTCCGCACCAGCTGAGCCAACAAAGACCTCGACACTAGCTGAGCCAAGAGTAACCTCCACAATGCATAAATCTTCACAGATAACAACAAAACCAACTTCGTCTGCACAAACTGAGACAACAAAGACTTCTGTACCAACTGAGGCAACAGTAGCCTCCAGCAAACCTAAATCTTCACAGATAATACCAAAATCAACTTCGTTTGCATCAACTGAGTCAACAAAATCTAAATCTTCACAGATAGCAACAAAACCAACTTCGTCTGCACTAACTGGGCCACAAAATGACACTATACCAACAGACGCAAGAGTAACCTCCATCCATCCTAAATCGTCACAGATAAGAACAAAATCAACTTCGTTTGTAGCAGTCACAACAGCAGAACCAAGTATGTTTTATAGGCAACTTCTTTGTTTCTTTTGTGTCTTCGTCTTTATATATATATAATTAGTGGGAAATTCTTTAAATGCTCCATTTTATCTATAGACACCGACTCTACGCCAATTGAGGTCTCTTCACCAACTGAGCCAACAGAGGTCTCTACACCAACTGAACCAATAGAGGTCCTTACGCCAACTGAGGTCTCTTCACCAACTGAGCCAACTGAGGTCTCTACACCAACTGAACCAACAGAGGTCCTTACGCCAACTGAGGTCTCTTCACCAACTGATCCGACAGAGATTTCCACACTAACTCAACCAAAAGTAATCTCTCTATCAACTGAGCCAACACAAGTCTCTACACCATCAGAGGCAACAGTAACCTCCGGCCAACCTAAATCTTCACAGATAAAAACAAAATCAACTTCATCTGTACCAGTGACAACAGCAGAACCAAGTATGTTTTATAAATAATTTCTTTGAATTAATGTCTTTATTTTTACTCATGCCCTTTTCTCTGCAGTAGACCATGCTGTAGCTCGCCGCCAAAAGGGGTTAAGCGGTTAGGAATTAAATAATAGATATCCAGCTCTCCATGTACATCTAAAACTGAAAAATTCATGGTAAATTGTTCTTCCTAGGAACAAATCCCACCGGCTCAACACCTGTTATAACTAAAGCGTCTCCAACTGGAACCATGTCGCCTACCATTTCAACTCGTTCCAGTGAAGTATCGAGCAGTGATGGTGAATCCAGTGGAATAGCTATTGCTATAGCTGTTGTGGTAGCCATAATACTGTTGATAGTGTTGGTTGTCATTATCTGGTGCTTGTGTAAACACAAGAAAAGATATAGGTAAGCTTTTTAAAGACATCGATGAATTAAGTTTCGTGTCTATTTGGGTTTAGTATCATGTAATGTGTCAAGGCCTTTTTTAAGAATTTGTCAGTGGGGGGCATTTACAAAAAGGGACCATTCTATACTGAGTATAGAGAGATGACAGATGGTTGTTGGTAACAAAAAGTTTCGTGTGGTGTCGCATGTAATAGTAATAGTAGGTGGGTCTGGGGCCATTTCCCCTAGAAAATAGTTGTATTTTCCCACTTCCAGGACTGCATTTTGTGCGTTTTCTCAAACAGATTTTTGGATATACAGCGTTACACTATTCCGTAGACAGACCGAACCTTCAGTTAAGTACTTCCGTCGTATGTTCATGTAAATACCGCAACTCGGTCATTAATTTGTTTTGCCTAGCCTTCCAACAACTCAGATCTATAGGGTCTGGGATATGCTACCCACTGGGAAGGTATCTACAACACAATGTATAGCATTTTTAAAAGACATTGAATCATCTGAAGATAAAAGACAGGATATGAGATTCACAAAGCAAGGTTCAGTTACTAGAATATCAAACCTCTCTTCTAAATTCCATTTTTCTTCCAATGTTTTGCTCATATTTTAGAGAAAAGGGACCTTGACTAGAGGGGGGATGATTGACTGTGGGGAGGCACCATGGGGGAGGGAGGGCTTTGGCCCAATTATAGAGTGAAAAAAGGCCCTGCAATGTGTGACATATATAATATCGACAAAATTGAATCAGTATCTCTCATTAAATTTGAAGTAATTGCAGTTTTGATGTTTTCCTCAACTAATGGACCAATAAAAAGCTTCGCATAGTTTTTCATGAGAATGACGTCACCAGAAAATGTCACACCTCATGTACTTTGATATTTTTACAACAGCCTAAGAAGGAATTCACGTCGCAGACGTTCCTGCAAAGAGGACGGTATGTATAATTATGTATACTATTATTTCTATTAACCATTTAATCACTTTAAGATTGTTCACATTGCAGAACATGTACTACCTTTGTAACATCTAACCACGCTTAACTCAGCAGTGGGTTCTGTACAACATCAGATCACTTTAATAATGGAATAGCATACATTCAAGAGCATATACTACTTCTGCATGATCTAATACTGTTTGACTCAGCAGTGAGTTACGTACAATATCAGGTCACGGTGCGTGTTATTTTCTCAATTCAGGTTCCATGAGGATGAAGCTGTTCAGTTACACAGAGAGTAATCTGCACGGCCCAGACGATCATGCTTATGCAATGCCAAATGTTGTACAAGCAAATGACCCTGGTTATGAAACGCCAGATAGCCAGAGTGTGGTTGTAGAAGCTAACCCTGCTTATGAAACGCCAGATAGCCAGAGTGTCGTTGTAGAAGCTAACCCTGCTTATGAAACGCCAGATAGCCAGAGTGTGGTTGTAGAAGCTAACCCTGCTTATGAAACGCCAGATAGCCAGAGTGTGACTGTAGAAGCCTACCCTGCTTATGAAACGCCAGATAGCCAGAGTGTCGTTGTACAAGCTAACCCTGCCTATGAAACGCCAGATAGCCAGAGTGTGGTTGTAGAAGTTAACCCTGCTTATGAAACGCCAGATAGCCAGAGTGTGGTTGTAGAAGCTAACCCTGCTAATGAAACGCCAGATAGCCAGAGTGTGATTGTAGAAGCAAACCCTGCTTATGAAACGTCAGATAGCCAGAGTGTGACTGTAGAAGCCTACCCTGCTTATGAAACGCCAGATAGCCAGAGTGTCGTTGTACAAGCTAACCCTGCCTATGAAACGCCAGATAGCCAGAGTGTGGTTGTAGAAGTTAACCCTGCTTATGAAACGCCAGATAGCCAGAGTGTGGTTGTAGAAGCTAACCCTGCTAATGAAACGCCAGATAGCCAGAGTGTGATTGTAGAAGCAAACCCTGCTTATGAAACGCCCGATAGCCAGAGTGTGATTGTAGAAGCTAACCCTGCTTATGAAACGCCAGATAGCCAGAGTGTGATTGTAGAAGCTAACTCTGCTTATAAAACACCAGATAGCCAGAGTGTGGTTGTAGAAGCTAACCCTGCTTATGAAACGCCAGATAGCCAGAGTGTGATTGTTGAAGCTAACCCTGCTTATGAAACACCAGATAGCCAGAGTGTGATTGTAGAAGCTAACCCTGCTTATGAAACGCCAGATAGCCAGAGTGTG